ACACCTTATACAAATAATAAAAATTTAAATTTTAAAAAATTTTATTAATGAAAAAACATATTCCATATTTTCCAAAACTAAATGAAGATACTGTAATTTTGTGGCTGATCACAGTGCTTTCATTTCTAAGCATCAATTAATTCCAAAAATGCTACAAAAATGGAAAAAATGATTCCTTTGTATTCACTGAATTTTTAAGAGAAGGCACATATAAAACAAGGCAATCTCTACATGTGGTTTTTAAAATAAAACCTCCCAGGGTTTTAAAGTCATTACAAATGTGACCCAAGCTCCTGTACCTTTCAAAATGAACCATTAAACAATTGTTATATAAAAACCCACTTTCAAAATTCTGGCACTGAGGCACAAGACTAAATCAAATAAAATTAATCCACCACCAAAGCAAACAAGTTAATAAATACTCATATTTTAGTACACTCATATTTTCAAATGAGTCAGTCTTCAATAAACCAATTAAACTGAAACTTGACTGAAGCTTTAGATATACTGAAAATTTTAAACACCATGCAGTCAAGAAAAAACTCTTAACCATTTTTAAATCTTCCAAGTTTTGAAACAGCTGATTATTTACAACTTACCTGGCTTACAGCGTAGTTCTGTATCTAAGACCCCAGAAAGTACTTCCTCTATCTTCTGAACTATTTCTTCATTTGGTAGGCTCCTGCCAGAGGCAACTGCATCACCTGCCTGGTTTCCTTCAATAGGTGTATTTGTTTCACCATTGAGCTGGCCTTCACTCCTTCCACTTGACAAGAAAAGTTATCAAAATTCATTAATACTTTTACCACATTATATGATAAATTAACATTTGTGACTCAAATGATTAAAATAAACTTATATTAACACATTTCACCATTTTTGTATTTCTTTCAGATGCCACTTCCTATTAGTACTTCCTTAACACTATCTACTTATAGTTGTACACTTTTATTTTTATACAATTAAAGTTTTCGTAACTGTGAAAGTTAAAAAGTCTTTCAAATAGGTTTCTAAGTCTTTTTTTTAAAAGAAAATACCACTAGAAATATGAATTAAATTAGATTTCACTTACACACATATTTATCTCAGGACAGAAAAATTATGATATAAGCTACAACTACTATAAAGCCACACCTGTCCATGGATCACAATCATCAAGGAACACAAAGCCAGCCACAGACACACATCAAGTAAAAAGGGTAATGTGTAACCTCTGATGAGACTTTAACCGATCAGTTAATAAAATGCCAAAAAATTTTAAAAGAAAAATACATTTACATAATTTTACCCAGTTATCAAAAAGCCTAGAATTAAATTTCTGGAGATCACAACAATTCATGTAAAACAAGGGACAATTCATTTATACCAACAGTAAATGAATGGATGGCTTAATATATTTTCAGTAGGGAAAAGAATTTTTTTAATTGAGGTAAAATTAGTGCATGTGTGTATAAAAATTTCATGAGTACGTTATAATTCAACATATGTACACACTACAAACAGCCATCACCAAGCCTAGTTACCATCCATCACCATCCAGTTGACCACTTCACCCCTCCCTCCCCCCCCAATCCCTCTCATAACCACCATTCTGTTGTGTATCCCAGTTTTTGTTTTGTTTCGTTTAATAGACATAAGAATATGTCACTTAGTCATTTTTACTTTTTATAGATTTACAAAATTGTTTTTGAAGAATAATTTCAACAGCTGTTTTAACTGACTCTAACTTAAGTTTTAGCTAACAAAACAGATCCAACAATTATGCTCCACTACTCGACAGACTTCTGAAGTCAAAAAAACACACAAAAAAAATCAGTAAACTGAAAGTTACTAAGAAATACTTGGTTTTCTAATAAAGTGAATCACATAATTAATATTTGTTGACTATTAATGTCACAAGGTCCTACATTTTTAAAACCCATTTAATCCTAACATAAAACTCTAAGATCAGCACTATTATTCTGATTTTATAAATGATGAATACGGGACACAGAGAAGACAAGAAACCTAGCTGAAGGTCACGCAGCTATCAAGAGGTGAAACTGGTACTCAGAGCCAGAGCTCATACCCTTTACCCCCATCCACATATAATAGTCTATTTTAACTATCTAAATGTCGCCTTGAACTAAAATGCAAAAATAGATGGGAAAAATGAAAAACAAAGCTCACTTAAGTGGCAAATAATCAAAAATCTGTTTTTACACTGATAACGTATTACACCTTACTTGAGAAGTTCAATTATCTCTCTAATGATAAATTGCTTTGTCTAATATTCTTTGTAGCCTTTCCTTCGGGAGCTCTTTATTTTACACTTTCCTAAGCACTTACACACACATAATTACCTTATTAGAAAAGCAACACATTTAAAAATCAGAAAAGCATAACAAAAAAGTCTATGAAAACTTAGTATCTTAGAGCTATGAAGATGTTTCTCAAATACCGAAAAGTTAAAAATTTAAACCACCTAAATATCCATCAATACATTCCTACAACAGAATTCTATAAAAAATGTCCAAAGCACTACTAAGATTGTGATAAAAAACAAAGATGTTTACAATACATTAACTGAAAAAAACACCAGCAAACAAGAGAATCATTTTACAAAACACGTATGTTCGTCTATGCACGGGGGGGGGGGGGGGGGTCCAACCCCAAAGAAAATCAATAACGCAGTGGTTTTCAAATTTCTTTTTCCCTTTAAATTTCTACAACCAAACTTATTTCCTAATATAAAAACTGATTTTTAAAAGGTATAAAAGACATTACAATAGCAATTACTCACTGCATGCACCTATTAAAGTTTTCAAAAATATGTATTCTCTTAGCTCAGGTCTTTTCTCATCATCTTAAAATAACATGAGCATGTAACAAAATTTTTTTTAAAAAAGAACTGAGTGAGCAGATCTATTTCCCACTTAAAAAAAGACACATCCTGTAAAAATAACAATCCTAGGACATTAGTTCACTTGCCCCAAAAACCCTGTAACACTTAATTTACAATTCCGTTTTCGGCCGATTTTCAAGTTCACTTATGCTCTCGCTCTGAACTCTTTAAATACAGCTAGCAAAAACATTTGAACTCGAAACAAATATTTACGTTATACAAAAGCAAAAACATTCAGACAGCCAGTGAACATTATGACCCATGCTAGTTTCCTTTCTGAGTCCAAAAACAATTTCTATGGAAATCTCTTCCCGTTTAAATTTTGTGGAACCAGGGATAAACTACGTAAAGTCTACCAGCAATAGCCCGAAAAACGTGTTGTTCACCTAAGCCCACTGGAGCAAAGGCAACAAATAAAAATTTACATCTACACAAAGCCCACTTTCCACTTGCTAAATTAAGAAATTATTCACAATTCAAAGTCCCCTTCCATCCTCACCTCGACTACTAAACCAAAATAGCTAACATTAATTTGAGCTGCTGTAACTTGAATTTCTAGTCGATTAGAACGCAGCCTGGTGAAAGGCACAGGACACTAGAGCCCAAATAATCTAATTAGAGGATCCCGACCCCGAGACGGCCTACCGCTCGCAGGACGAAAGCGGATTTAAGTTTACTCAAAGAACGGCCGGTAGAGACCCTTTCCGGTCGCAGACACCGGCCGGCGAAATCGACGGAGGCTGAGAGGGGGAGGGGGAACGCGGCGGCGGCGGAGGAGGAGCTGAAGAGGAACTAGGCCGTCGCCGGCGCACAACCAGGCCCAAAGCAGTGAAGGGGTAGGGGACGAGCAAACGGGAGACAAGGGTGAGCGTCTTAACTCTGTTCCAGGAGAGGAACTCGGGGTTACCGCGGAGAGGGCGAAGTTCCGCGCTGGGAGGAGAGCGGGTGGGGGGGGCGGAAAATGGATCCCAGGCCCAGGCGGGGCCGTAGCGGGGCCTGAGGCGCGGAACGACGGCGCCTCTGAATAAAGGTGCCATGGAGGGCTACGCGCGGCCCTATCGGTCCCTTGGGAGCAGAAGAGACTGGGAAGCGCGTACCTTGAAAGCTCCTGTTGAATTTCCCGGAATTTACTGACCACGAAAGACCTAAAAATCTGCTCGATGTTGGTCGCCATGGCGTCCGCTCCGTTCTCTCAACTCCTCCTCGCTAGTCCTCCAGGCTCCCAGAATGCCTTGGGAGGAGGCACAGCGGCCAATTCCGTCTGTCGCCCTCCTGATTGGCTTCTGTTGGAACGCCCGGATCTGCACGCTCCGCCGTTGGACCAATCAGAGAGCAGGGGCCTGCTCTCCTCCGCTGTTTCTGAGCGGCTCGGGGAGAGCTGCTGACGTTTGCGCCGCGCACGACTCTGTCCGCCATGTTAGTGACTGACGCAGGCGCCATTACAGGAGAAGTCTCTCGAGGCGACTTTGTCAGCTTGTCAGTCCCCAACGGTGTTCGGGGGAAGCTTAAGAGACTTACCTCAGCAGCTAAATGCCGGAGATTAAATGGCATGAGGAAAGGGGCAAGAAGGGCAAAATTCCCAAATTGTTGCAACAAGGAACTATCCGGAAAAGTATTCATAAGCGCCCGCCCCCACCGTGAATCAAGATGAACACGATTTTCCCCCACCTTTCCCATGACATCCTATAATCGGGGTTTTTTTTTTTTCTTCAAAAAAATAGGAAGTCTCGCGCGACCTGCGTTCAAAGCCTTGTGAATTCTGGTCAGGAGCCAGGCGTGTCAGGAGAATTCCCCCTGTCGCCGCTCCATTCTGACTCGTTAGCAACACACCATTAGCTACGCGCCATTAGCTACATGAGGGCTAGTGTCTAGGGTGCTCCCCTCCTCCGAGCTGAGGATCTCGGGGAGGAACAGAGACGTCGGGTGGCACCTGACGCCACAGTGTCAAACCATAAACGCGCATAGCCGGGATGGCTTTGCCCGGGTACAGGGCTGAGGCCGCGCCCGAGGGCGGGAGGGAATCACACTCGATTACCTCGCGGCAGGGGCCACGGCGCGCGCTGACCAATGGGGATGCGAGGCCCCGCGGGTGGGCGGGCCCGGGGGCAGGCGCGCGCCGGGATCCCCCTCGGCCCACTTCCGGCACGGCGCGCGGGCGGGAGCGTGAGTGTAGCGGCCGGACTGCGTGCATCCACCGTGTAGGTGCGTGAGCCCTTAGCGCCACTGAGTGGAGTCCTGTGCTTGGTGTGGGGGTGTCCTGTCAGGCATTGAATGAGACCGTAGGAACGGGTTTGGCTGTAGGAGTTTCCATCTTGTTTTTGCAGGTCGTGGGGGGGGGGGGGGGTTTGGCCACGTGCTTTTCCCTTTTAACTGAGGTTTACAGTGGACCTAGCACTTTACCCTGCTTTGTAAGATTCGGGGCCTTTTGTATGTTTATGCTATTTTAGGTCGTAAGCCTGGATTGCCTTTTTTTTATTATGCACCTATTGTCTTTAGCAAATCAGTGCACACTTTTGCATTTGTTTTGGACTGTTTATTACCAAATCCATTGAAATCCATACACTGCGTGGCTCGCTCATCTCGTCGTTTGCTTATATAGATGGCCGACGCCCTGCAGGTGTCCGTGCCAAAGGCACAGGGTCTCGATGCGAACCCAGACCCCGGCCCCGGAGCCAGGCCCCCGACCGCTCCTGGTGTGGAGGCTTCAGGCCGAGGCGTCGCCTCCCCTCTCACTGCAACTAAATGTAAAGCTCTGTTTGTTTCAGAAATGTCAGCCCACGTGGCAAATGGTGATTTCCGTTAGACTAAAATAGCGTTTACCGCTCTTAGATGATTATTGGGCAGTTTTTTTCCCAGATTTTTTCATGAGTACCATCTCAGTTGTTAGCAATATGTGATGCTTGTGTTGCAAACCAGGCTCCATCCCCTCTGGCTGTGACTTGGAGCGACTCCCTCACCTAATACCTGCGCTTCCTAAGTCGTAGAGGAGGTGGTAGCAGCGTCTGCCTCTTAGAATTGCGAGGGCCAAGTGCGGTAGTTATTGATAAGCGCTTGGAATGTGTCATCCAGCACCCAGTGCGTGCTCCAAAAGCGTTAGTTTTTTATATCAGCTTAGATTCTTATTTAAATGTGTGATCCCAGTTTTCTTTTTCCTGTTTGTCTTCTACATAATTGTCTTCTGAAAGTTGCTAAGTTAAGGTGACAAATTATTTGTTTCTTTGGCTTTTTCCCCCCTTTAAAGAACTTCTTTGTGTCCCTAAAGTATTGATTTCGATAGAGGTACCTAATAAAATAAAACAAGGTAGCATTTACTACTACTGAGTGCCAGAAATTGTACTAATTGTTTATATAAATGTTATTTTAGTTCATCCTTACGTCGCCTTCTGAGGCAGGTTCTCTTCCATCTTCTAAGATGTGAAGGAATTGAATTACAGGTGGCGCATACCAAGGTCACACTGCTAACTTCAGCTGAGAGGTGGCTAGTGCCCCATCCTGCTCGGAGTCAAGGACTGGAACTGGCGTGAGACGTGTTCAAATTTGATTTTGTGCTTCTCTACCAATTTTCTAAAGCACTACACTAACTCCTTAAGTCGGGGGCCAGCAAACCGTGGCCTCTGTGCCAATCCTTCCTGCTGCCTGTTTTTATACAGCCCGTCAAGTAAGAATAGTTTTTACATCAGTAAGTGGTTGAAAAAAATTAAAGGAAGAACGCTGTTTTTACGACACATGAAAATTATAAAATTCAAATTGCAACATCCACAAATAAAGTTATTGAAACACAGCCACGCTTATTCTGTATAAACCGGTGATAGCTTTCTGTTCCTTAGAGCAGAGATCAGCGATCTGCGACCTCCAGCCTACTGCCCACTTTTGTAAGTTTTTACTGGACTTAGCTATGTTCATCTGTTTAGGTATTGTCGCAGGCAGCTTTCATGCTACAGTGGCAGAGTTAAGTAGTTGTAACAGACTATGGCCCTCAAAGTCTTTATCTATAAGACTGAGATGTTTGAAAACAGTTATTTTAAATTCTGGTCCAGGTTTAAAACACCAGGATTCATTTTTAACCAAGGTTTGGTGATTATTCTGTCTTCTAAAAGTGAAGCCCGAAGAATGGTTATTGTTCATAGGAGTTTGTTCTTTTAATCAAATGAGTAAAGACATCATTTCACTCCTGCCCTTTGCTCTGTACGCCAGTCGGCCTCATTTTAAAAACCCTCCCTGTTCCTTAGGAATGCAGCCATATTTTTCAGATTACGAATCCTAAGTTTACAAACAAGTGAATCGGTAGTATCCATGGTGCTTAGAACTTGTGATTTCTGAAGTGCGTGCCTTCTGAGCTGTCACCTGTGGTTTTCTTCCTGCAGCCTTCACTTGCCTTTGGATCCCTGCGTGCAGACAGCATGGCAGCCCGAGTACTTGTAATTGGCAATGGAGGAAGAGAGCACGCACTGGCCTGGAAACTGGCCCAGTCGAATCACGTCAAACAGGTGTTGGTGGCACCCGGAAACGCAGGCACTGCCTGCTCCGAAAAGATTTCAAATGCTGGTAATCATGTTTTCAAGCAGGGAGTGATAGTTAATAGTGACAGATGATAAGCTGTCAGCTACATCTGTTGTTTATAAGGTCAATGGCTATGCAGATTTGAATGCTTTCCATAACTTTAAAACGTATGTGGTAATTTGAATACTTGCCATGTATTGTAAATTTAAGGTACACTGTCATTCAAAGTGTGGCATTTCCTTATCTTAAATTATTGTAAACCTTACAAAACACATCCCTTTAAAAAGTCTCAAGTGCCCAATATAGGTTAAAGGCATTTTTTTAAATTTATTGATTGGGGAGGTAGCAGAGCGAAGGAGAAATGCCTATTTGTCGTTCCACTCATTTATGCGTTCATTGGTTGATTCTTGTGTGTGCCCTGATTGGGGATCAAGCCCACAACCATGGTATATCAAGACGATGTTCTAACCAACTGAGCTACTGAGCCAGGGCTAAAAGCATTTTAATGTATATTTTTTAAACATGGAAAGTTGAACATTGCTATTAAATGTCAATGTTGGCAATTCTAACTCCACAGTAGGTGTCAAGCTTTATCTCTTCAACTGGTTAAAAAAAAAGTCCAGTTCTCATGTTCCATTAAACTCTTTAGTGCCTTCCTATAGTACTTAGAATAAAACTCAGACTCCTTAGAGTTTCTTACAAAGCTCTTTGTGATCTGACCTGCCTCTCCAGTCCGATCTTTGATACCCTTTGCTTCCTTTGTGCTGCTCTATCCATGCAGTCAGTCAGTCCTGCTAGTTTCCCAAACAGAGCTGCCTTGGGCTTAGCATTTGTTCCCACCCCCAGCATGACAGGCTCCTCATTACTCAGGTCTCTCAGCTTACATGCCGCCTCTCAAAGAAGTCCTTCCTAAAGTTTCTGCGAAGTAAAGCAGGTCCACTCTGAACCATTGTATCTATTTTTGCTTCTCTGTTATCTGTCTTCTCTCTTCATTTCCTCTCCAGAACATAAGCTCTTGAATGTAAGCTGCATGAGGAAAAGGAACTCACCTGTCTTGTTTTGCAGTGTGGGCCCTGCCAGGTGTACCCTATGTGGCATGGCCTGTGTGGAGAGAAAACCATGACCCAACAAGCTGCAAACTGGGAGGGCAATTGCATATACAGGACCAAGGATAAGAATAATAAAATAAGATGAAGCCCTGGCCGGGCAGTTCAGTCGGTTAGAGTGTCGTCCCAATGCACCAAGGTTACAGGCTTGATCCCCAGTCGGGGCATGTGCAAGAGTCAACCAGCGAGTGCATAAGCAAGTGAAACAACAAGTCAATGTTCCTTCCTCTCTTTCTCTTTCTCCCTAAAAATTGATAAGTCAGAAGGAACTTTCTTTTTAAATAAGATGAAAAGATAAATACCTGCTTCCCTAGAATCTTAGGTGGGGTGAAATGTATCCATTCATTGGAGAACTGGCATATTCCATTTAAAAGCAATTGACGTCATGCAGGCCAGCCCGTGAGAATGTCCTGGGGTTGTCACAAGGCTGCTGCCACTTGCAGAGACAGGCTAGGCGGGTCTTTTGCCACCGCCAGCTGTGCCGAGGTGGTTGGCTCCGCTCGGCCCAGTTGTGTTTGCAGCTCCTAAACCCAGAGTGCACGCATCCCCCGTCCTTGCCCCGACGCGTCACAGGCGCCATGCTGCGCAGGGGAATTGGGGTCTCAGCGGACCGAAGAGCATGGGCCAGGCACAGGAGCGGGAGAGCACCTGGAGGAGACCCCATACTTGGCATATGGCTCTTCTGCCGCCTTGAGCTCCCTTGAGGAAGCTTCCCTGTCTTGTCGGAGAAGAGAGCAAGGCTATAAAGTCACTTAGCTCTTAGTTTGAACATCGCTTTGTGAGGAGATCCTTCCTGACTCAGCCAGAAACAGCCTCCCTCTCAGCCTCACATCAGAGTTGCCTCACTTGTTCACAGTTGGTCATTTTTTCCCCTTATTTATTACCCAACATTCCCACAGTGGACTAGAAGCATCCTAAGTGTAGGGACCCCGTTTATGTTAACATCTTAACCCAGTGACTAGGGTAGTCTCTAGCACATAGTGGTTCTCAGTCAGTCCGGGGAGAATGACATTAAAAGGCCACTGTCGGAGTGTATTGTGTGATACCGTCTGTTCACTGCACGGTCAGCGCCCTCGACATGAGCCCGGTGGGGGAGGAGGCCCTTTACAGCTGCGGGGGAGGCGTCCTGGCCTCGGCGTCTGACCGGCTCAGCAGCGGCGGCTGGGCGGCGCTGGGCGGCCTTGTGCTCTCTGCTCCCAACGCTCTGCAGTGAAACTCATCAGTCTCAGCGTGCATGACAAAGGATAGGACCTCGTTTTCAGTGGGACGCCGAGTTAACTTAGTGTTTTTGGAAGTGAAGTGGATTTGTTTCTCTTTTCTGTTCATAGCCATCTCCGTCAGTGAGCACGGTGCCCTGGCTCAGTTCTGCAAAGATGAGAACATTGAATTTGTAGTAGTTGGACCAGAGGCCCCCCTGGCTGCCGGTGAGTTTGTTTCTGTCTGTTGTTTCAGTTTGCCCAGGGCAAAAGGAGATTGCGGGTCATCTAATCCAATTCATTTTAGAGATGAGGATTTCTAATGTGATATTACATTGGAAAAGGACCTTTCACCCTCCTGAAATGTATGGATTTTAGATTTATTTTTCCTCAAACATTGGAAATGTGATGAAAGAAGTCAAATTTGTAGCCATGGAAACATTGTATATGCCTTTATTGTGCTGTCTATAGTAATCCATACATTCGAATATAACAGATGACTGCTTCTGATTTGAATCACGTTAGTAGCATTTTTGTTCATATCCTATAGACAACGTGAAAACCTTAACAACAGTCGTCAGCTTAATCTCAACACAAGTTTAGTCTGATCCTAATTCTTCAGGCTGGAAAGGCACCGTGGGGCCTCAGCTCACCTAAAGCTGCTTGTTTCTCTCCGCAGGGATTGTCGGGAGCCTGGCATCCGCAGGGGTGCGCTGCTTTGGCCCCACAGCAGAAGCAGCACAGCTGGAGTCCAGCAAAAGGTTTGCCAAAGAGTTCATGGACCGGCACGGAATCCCAACGGCACGATGGCGCGCTTTTACCGAGCCCGGAGAGGCCTGCAGCTTCATCATGAGGTAGAGGGGAGGCTGACTGAAGGGCGGCTATTTGTTACGATAGTTAAATATCCCAGACACTCCCTTCTTAAGATTTTATTTATTTACTTTTAGAGAGAGGAAAAGAAAGGGAGAAAGAGAGGAAGAGAAACATCAGTGTGTGAGAGAGATATCGATTGGTTGCCTCTCAGATGGCCCTACCAGGGGACCTGGCCTGCACCCCAGGCCTGTGCCCTGACTGGGAATCAGACGAGCAGCCTTGCGGTTTGCCAGCCAGCACTCAGTCCGCTGAGCCGCCCCAGCCAGGGCTCTACCGGTCGCTTTTGTGTCGCCAGTTTATTGTAAGATCGTGTGGGGCAAAAAAAACTCATTCTATTTCTGTTTCCTTTTTTCCAACATCAAAATTAAAAGGGATTCTGTGCATGTATAGTACAATCTTTTGGCCTTGCAGATTTGGCCAGTGGGGAGTGCGGGGCGAGGGGTTCGAGAAACATCAGTTTGTTGTTCAACTTATTAGTGCATTCAGTGGTTGATTCTTACATATGCCCTGACCAAGCATCAAACCCGCCACCTTCAAGTATTCGGATGATGCTCTAACCAACTGCCCTACCACCCAGGGCAAGGTGAATTTTTTTAATATTTGTTACTGAATAGTTTCTAGGGGGGAAGATACATTGGTTTTGCACTCATGCACTCTTTTCATAGCCAATTGACATACTTGTGCATGGTGGCAACTTACAAAAATCAAGGATATTGATTTTTTTTTTTAAACAGATAATGAGCGAGAATGAGGAAACCTCCCTTGGTGGCCTCCGCCACCACTGCTCAACTCAGTCATGAAATTAGACATCCTTGTCCGTGAGTGTTGACAGGCGCATGGCTTTGCCCTTTTCTGTTGACACCTCTCCCTGTGATCTGGTATTTTTTCCATTTAGTTGAGTCAGCTTCATTCTTTTTTTTTTTTTTCCCCAATATTTTATTTATTTTTAGAGAGCAGGGGAGGAGAAGGAGAAAGGAAGAGAAACATCAATCGATTGCCTCTCACACACCCACAGCTAGGGATCTGGCCAGCAACACAGGCATGTGCCCTCACTAGGAATCAAACCGGTGACCTTTTGGTCCGCAGGACAACACCCAGCCCACTGAGCCACACCAGCCAGGGCAGTTTCATTCTTTATTCATTCTAAGTCCTACAGAGTTTCTTACACACTGAATATTACTCCCCTGTAGCCAGATGCCTTGGGTTTGTAAGGACTTTGTTACTTGCTTCAGATCTCTGGTCTTACTCAACAGGAGAAGGTACCAGAAGCAGCTGTGTGAACTTGGAGAAACGGTCTGTGTGTCCATATTTATGTTGTTCCTCCTCAGCCACATTTTTCTAACTGAGAAATTTCACTTGTGTACAAACAATAATTTCCAGTATTATTCAAGAAAATCTTGTTTTAGCCATCTTCTTTTTCTTCCTATACAATTAAAAATAAAATAGAACATTAGTATGAGTTTTACTAATATTCTACTTATTTTAATGAATCTGGTACAATGTCCATTGAAAACCCGTATGCCAGGCCAAAAAATACAAAATCAAAAAAGAGCAGTGTTCTAATGTACACACTTCTACACAAATAACTTTGGTAACTGCTAGTGAAAAGTGAAACTTTTCTGGCATCTTCGACAGGATTTTCCTTTGCTCTTGGAATGCCTTCTCGTCAGTGACACCGCCTTTGGAGTGTGCCTTTACTCTCCCCTAATCTGTTTTTCTCACTGCATCCTGATATTCCTCTTCTTTTGGTCCAGACCTTCAGGTTTTAAAGTAGCTTCTGGTCAAGGAAAGGTAATTTTTCCACAGCTGGACTTCTGAAAATCTTCCATCTCCCACTGGAAGTCACAGTCCAGGAGGGAAGCAGTCTCATGCTAGAGCTCCAGGGCCACCGAGAAAGCCTGGGGACACTTGCATCAGTCGGCCTCACTGATCACAACCCTGAAAACGCGCAGCCACGGGAGAGGCGGCCTCCCTGTGTGCACAGGGGCTATTTCAGGGGGCGATGGCGATGCGCAGGGAGTTGAGGCGTGAGCACCAAAAGTCACACGATGAAAAGAAGCCGTAATGAATGGGCACTGGAATTCACGTTACCGGATGTTTTAAAGAGATGGAGGGGCTGGTTTTCAATTCCATTTTGAGCACATAACAACTATTTTTTTAAAAAGGGGATTGCAGGGAAAGAGTAAAAAGAGTATTTAAAGCGTCAAATGACCCCCCCTTTGTTCCTGATAAACCCCAATCACATCTTTTTCCTCCATTCCCAGTTCTCTTGGAATGTTATTATCAGCAATTCTCTGACCTTCCAAGAGAAACCCGAGTGAATTCATTGGAACGCCCTGTCTTTCACAGCTGGATTCCTTGAGTTTCTTGAGATGTGTTGTCATTTTAACTTGGAAGGGAGTCTTACTGCTAGCCTGTCCAGTGACTTTGAGTTTAATGTATTCTCCTCCCTTCTTGTCCCCCAAGTCTTCAGTGGAAGGTTTTGCCTCCTTGTCAGACGTGGTGATGGTGACTTCTCCCTGGGTCTCCACACAGCAGTGGCCTTAGGCAGGCGGAACCTCGCGCCAGTGGGACATACAAACCCATGTCTCTCCCACAGCCACATCTTCTACTTGAATGAATATATGGTTCACCACCTTGTATTTTAAAAATAATTCCACTCCCACTCTACAACTGCCTTAGTCTTCCAAAGATGTTGCCAGTATGATCTCATAATAAATGAAAGAAAAGGAAATGTATGTGCAGTGTGATCACAGCTACAAAGGAATGCGTGGGGGAAATCCTGGTGGGAAGTACATCAAAGTGGTGCTGAGCGGTTTTCTTCTTTCTGCCCTTCTCGGTGCTATGGCCTGTCCTGACAAAATCCCAAAGCAGCCTGAATTTTTAAACTGTACAGTTGGCAGGCTATTAAAGGTGACCCTGTGTTCACAGTGCAGACTTCCCGGCCTTGGTGGTGAAGGCCAGCGGCCTTGCAGCTGGGAAAGGGGTGACTGTCGCCTCGAGCAGAGAAGAGGCCTGCAGGGCGGTCCAGCAGATCATGCAGGTCAGTCTCTGGAAAAACGCACAGTTTTCTAGTCACACTGGGTACCGTTTATAACTTCCTGCTCATGGGTTCACAAAGCACTCCTCAAGGGAAGGAAAGTGTACCCCACAGACACACAGGTAAGTTCTTTCTCGTAGTGCATTGTGTTATAATCCATCCCCATGAAAGTTATGGCAGACCTACACCAGTGGCTAAACCGTGCCGCCATTCTTGGGAATGCGCTCTAGCACTGTGTTGTCTGCTGCTGGAAGCGGGGGATCCTAGACTGTAGAGAGCGCAGGTAACTTCTCAGTCGTTCATGAGGACCGAAGTCTTCACCCTTTGCGTCCTGCGTCTCAGAGGAGGGAAGCAAAGAGTTAATATACTTTGCTTTTCCTTTCTGGTCCATCTTGATCTCTGTGGGTTTCCTGTAGAAATCTACTTTCATAGACATTCTGTAGTGGAATTTTGTGGGCAAACATCGTTATCCTCAGAAATAACTAAATGGTGACGGAGAAACCACCTCTTTCTCCGTTACCTTTCCTCCGTACCTGTGCTAGCTCTCTATCATGGCCACTTTGAAAACAGGAAACATGTGATTATTTCCTTGAGATTCTCAGAAAGGGAGAGAGAAGTTGCAGTGCCAGCGAATCGGTTCATAATACAAATGATAGAAAATAACAACAGCCAATTAAGTAAATGATAAAAAGCTTACGGTTTACTTTTTTTACTTTTTTAATCTACAATAAGGATAAAACTTTTGGCGCAGCTGGAGAAACTGTTGTCATTGAAGAACTTCTTGAAGGAGAAGAGGTGTCTGTAAGTGTTCGATTTCGGGACCTTTATGAAGTGCCAGGAGCTATGTTATCTGACCACCGAGCCCCAAGACACTTAATTTATTCTGGTTGTTTTCTCTAAAAGCACAAACCCAGCAGTTACAAAGGAACATATGTATATATGCTTAGCGTTTGAGATGCAGATGAAAAAAGAATGTATCCTCTTACGATCATCCCCAGTGTCTCAGTAAGGGACTTGGATTTGTATCAAACATTATTTAAGGGAGGGAAAGGCGGACATATTTTACTTGGAGAGTAGTTTGATTTTTTAACCTAGCCTGATTTCTTGAGGCAGATAGCTTAGGGTTATTTATGTTTTGACTCATTTTACTTTAAAAAAGCGGAGCTTTTCCTGTAAGAAGAGTTAGAGTACATGTTCCCCGTATTGATCCATCCTTGTACTCCCTGGTATCTGAGGTAAGTGGACCACCTTGTCCTCTGTGCAGTGCCTGTGCTTCACCGATGGAAGGACTGTGGCTCCCATGCCCCCGGCTCAGGACCATAAGCGACTGCTGGAAGGAGACCGCGGCCCCAACACGGGGGGCATGGGCGCCTACTGTCCGGTGCCTCAGGTGCGTCCCGGGGCTCGGCCGAAGTTCAGCAGGGATGGATGGGCCTTCTCAGAGAGCCCTAGTGCTTTTCTGTTGATGGTCGTTTTTAGCTCTCCGAGGTTGTCTTTCCTATTTCCTAAAAATAAAGTTAAATATCTACTTGATAAAGGGCCACTGCAGGGATTATTAGAATTTATGAATTTACAGTGCTCGTGCCATCTCAGGTAATAAATAAAAGCTGGTTTTCATTTGTCCCCTCTCATTGTCCCGTGCAGCACTGCTTACAGGGGGATTTTTGAAAATACCAGTTACATTCACATATTTCTGTTTGTTCCCAGGTTTCTAAGGATTTGTTGCTGAAAATTAAAAATACCATTCTTCAGAGGACAGTGGATGGCATGCAGAAGGAGGGTGTCCCCTACACGGGTGAGCGTGGCGACCCTCTGTGGGCGCTGGGCGCAGAGCGACTTGACTGCTTTGACAAGCCTCCCCGCGTTCTCTTTTTCACCGCCTATGAGTTGGCCACTCCAGTAACACTTGTTATGGCTGTTCCATACCTTCTCGTATATTGGAAGTCTGTGTCCTAATTTTCAGTCACAGTACAATGTCTTCACACCATGGCTGGTGTGGCTCAGTACATTGAGCACTGGCCTGTGAATGGAAAGGTCGCAGGTTCGATTCCTGGTCAGGGTACATGCCAGAGTTGCAGGACAGGTCCCCTGTTGGGGGCGTGTGAGAGGCAGCTGACTGACTGATGTTTCCCTCCCTGTCTTTCTCCCTCCCTTCCCTTCTCTCTGAAAAATAAATAAAATCTATTAAAAAGTACAATGTCTTTAAATGTCTTTTTCCTTTTTAATGAAGGTGTTCTCTATGCTGGTATAATGCTGACCAAGGATGGCCCAAAGGTTCTGGAGTTTAATTGCCGTTTTGGTGATCCGGAGTGCCAAGTGAGTAATAATTTAAGGTAATGTAAAGTATTGCTTTGTAGAATCTCAGGATTTATGAGCCTTGAAATAATTGCCTTTGAGAAATACAGTTGAACCAGAACAACACAGGTTTGAACTGTGCAGGTCCACTTATATGCAGATTTTTGAAATTAAATATACAATCAGCCTTCCCTATTCCTGAGTTTTGAATCTGTAGATTCAACCAACTTCACATCAAAAACTGTTTTCAGTCCACGGTTGGGAATCCATGGATGCGGAAGACTGACTGGTTCCATTGCTCTTCGCCATTTTATGTGAGGGACTTGAGCGTCTACAAAGACCCTGCAACGGGGTCCTGGAGCCAGTATCCTGCGGATGGGGAGGGACAACTGTCGTTAAGTTTTGGGGGAGTCATAAGTCACATGCGATTTTTGACTGGGGGGGCTGGGACCCTGGGACGTTGTTCCTGCATCCACTGCATGTGCAGGTGTTGCTGATACCCCAGTGAATAAAATGTCTAAGAACTACAGTTCCTCCCATTTGCCATGCGGATGCTGTCTTTCCAGGTCATCCTCCCACTTCTGAAAAGCGACCTTTATGAAGTGATCCAGTCTACCCTGGACGGCCTTCTCTGCGCATCTCTGCCGGTGTGGCTCGACAGCCATGCGGCCGTCGCTGTCGTCATGGCTGGTCAGGGCTACCCAGGGGCCTGCGCCAGGGGTGTGGAGATAACAGGTGAGTGCCGGGAGAGGGGCCGGTGCCGGGAGGCGGGCCGCCAGGGCCGCCCCCGTGCTGTTCCGCTCCTCTCCCCCCTTGGCTCTGCTCTGCTCTGCCTACGGCTGTGAAGCCAGTAGCAGCCTTTCAGGGGTTCTGCCGTCATCATCTTGCCTGTTGGACGTGGTTGTTCAGCCCTCCAAAATTACTAGATTTAAAGAACTGCAATCCAGTCCTGGCCAGTGTGGCTCAGCGGGTTGGAAGATCATCCCGTAAACCAAAAGGTCGCTGGTTCAGTGCCCGATCAGGGCACATACATAGGTTACAGGTTCGGCCCCTAGTCGGGGCGCATACAAGAAGCATCTGATCGACTTTGCTCTCTCACATCGATGTTTCTCACCTCCCTCTCCCCTCCTTCCCTCTCTAAAACCAATAAGCATGTCCTCAGGGGAGTATTTGAAAAAATAAAAAAGAGCTGCCATCCATTCCCCTTTTTGGACAAGAAAGACTGGCATGGGCCTGGCCAAGAGCCAGGAAGACACTGGAACTATGTGAGAGAAGAACATTAGTGTGGCCTCATCAATGAGATAAATTTCAGCTGTACTCTCTCGGAATGATCACAAATGGAACCCCAGTTTGCAGTGCACTCTGAGTCACCTGGGTGGCAGAATTCAAACGCTTTCACAAGTGTGACCTTCTCTTCTGTTTCTCTTTACAGAGGTGAGGCAACTAGATAAATGATGTTAAACAGACCAGTGTTTTAAAATGCCAAATAAGTCCCAGTGCCGCGGCCCAAAGGCAGGCCTCCCTCGGAGCCTCCACGTGTGCTGGAGTTAGACGCCCCGCTTCCTGTCTCGCCGAGATGAGAAGCCTATTGCCCCGTGAATCCCACACACAACAGCTGGACAGTCAGGAATCGATTGCCTTTTAAAATGAACCCAAAAAGGGAAGGGATAGAACCAAGACCCGTTGTGTTGGTGAAATTTCTCTAAGATTAAGGTGGCAGGTAGAACACTCATTGCTGACAAGGCAACACTGGGCATTACCAATACCAGCAGGCACTTGGGTGACTGACGGAGCACCGCTGCGTGATGAAGACACTCAGGGAAGGCCTGGGCTAACCAACTACCACATACGATGATGCTTAAATCAGATTTGTCTCAAAATTCAATAACATATTGGGGGAAAGACTAAGAATATGTTTTGCATTGCAATGATTCTGTTGGTCATTTAAAAAAGAAAACACCGTTACTTGGATAGCTGTGATAAAAGAAATTCCTTTACTCTCTAAGTAACAGATGGGCTCAAATCCAGAATTACTCGTTGATGTTTAGGTTCCACGCCCTTTCTGCTTATTTTTTTCTTTTTTAAGATTTTATTTATTTATTTTTAGAGAGGGGAAGGGAGGGCGGAAGAGAGGGAGAGAAACATCATTGTGTGGTTGCCTCTCACATGCCCCCTACCAGGGACCTGGCCTGAAGCCCAGGCATGTGCCCTGACTGGGAATTGAACCAGCAACCCTTTGGTTCACAAGCTGGCACTCAGTCCACTGAGCCACACCAGCCACAGCTAACTCTCTACTTTTAAGTCTCAAAATTTTCAGGGCTTAGATTTTTTTCTCTCATTGAAACGATAGTTCCTACGTGAAATGTATGATAACACAGGGTTTTAGAAATTTAATTAGCACTCTAGAGCAGAATAGACTGTTCTTCGGAGATAATGTCTATTTACTATTATATTGCATTAGTACCTTCCTAATAGGATTCCTGTGAAGATTTGTTGAAGTGAAATAAAATTCTTTTTTTAAAAAAGCAAAAACACTTCAAGAAATTATCAGCCAGTTCGCCAGTGTAGAATATTGTTACTACCAATACTAAGCCCAGTGCACCACCTTGCAGGGTTTGCTGAGGCCCGGGCTCTAGGACTGGAGGTGTTCCATGCAGGTACAGCCCGAAAAGATGGCAAGGTGGTAACTAACGGAGGGCGAGTCCTTGCGGTGACAGCGGTCCGGGAAAATCTCATCTCTGCCCTTGAAGAAGCCAGGAAAGGATTGGCTGCTATCCAGTTCGAGGGAGCTGTTTACAGGAAGGACATAGGCCACGGAGCCGTAGCGTTCCTCCAGCAGCCCAGGTAAATGCCTCCCCACGCAGTGAGGTTTCAAAATGGCAGCGTGGCCACCCAGGGCATCCTGTGGGCCCTGCACCAAGTCAGTCTGTATTGCCTCCATGGGACTGGTCCAGTTTGGGTCTGCATTGAGTTTGACGCAAAACGATTTACAGCAAAATTCAAATGAGATGGAAAAATCTTCATGGTAGCGCCTTCCATTTGAAAAGTTTGGGAAAATCCCAGAGCTATTAAAAGACTTTTCCCATTGGGCACTTTATACAATCATTTGTGTGTCATTGTAAAATAGGGAAAAGAATTTTATTCTTTGAGTTATCATGTATTTAAATGTTGCTGTTACTTACAAGTGCTGGTCTTGTTGAAGAGTTAAAGATGAAAATACCAGTCACCTACTTTTGCAACTTGGTTTGATGACCCTGTATACTCAGCCGTCTTCTTTGTCACTGCATTTACTCCCATCACTGAGATGTATTTTTCACCCTGTTGATTCATTTATTGACATGTGCAACTATTCCTTTGTAGAAATCAATAAACTTTTCACGGCAAGTGTGAGTGTTTGCTTTCTTAACTATATCACAATCACTGTTCTTTGTTGAGTTCATCTATGAGAAATGAATAAGTTTTAGGACAAAACGAGAGATTTTTTAGCAACTTAATTCAAACCGTACTGCTACCAATAGGCAAGTTTTCAAAGTTTAAATACTGGCTTTTTTTTTTTTTTTTTTTTTTTTAGAAATAGTAACATACTAAAATTTTATTTTTTATTAAAATGACTGGATTCCATTGAAACAATCTGTTTCAAGGGAGTGCAGCCTTACTATTCTGAGTTTTTTAAAGCTGATGGCGTTTTAAACCGGTAGAACCACGTATATTTGTACCCTGACACACTGCTTTTAATAAGACTTAACGTGGTTCTTCATGGGTCACTGCATCCCACGCAGCCAAAGCTCCCATTGGTGTGAGGCGCGGCGGCTGCGGGTGTGGTGCGGCTCCCACGCTGGAACTCGGAGTGCACTGGCCGTTGCGCTCGCCCTGTGTGGGAGATGAGGCACCAAACGCATGGCCGCCTAGTTTTCCCCACAGGTTTTTTTGTTTTTTTTTTTTTTAATCTTAACTGTCTTCAGCTATTAGGAAACTGTTACAATTCTCTCTTCTTTCAGTAAGAATGCAGTCTCATTATTTAGGGGTTTCTTTGTGGAGTCCTTAGGATCCTAATTTTTACTTTTTTGACTTAGTTTTGACATTCCTTTTCCCATTCCAAAATTGAACAGAGAAAGGTTGTAGCAAATGTCAGTACACTTAGCTGCTTGTGGGCAGCACTTACGGAAGAGCTAAGTTAGAGATGTCGTTCTCCATAGTGATGATACCGCCCTGTCACCTGGGGGTGGGGAGAGGGGCTAAACATGTCCACTTCCAGGGCCATCAAAGTCTGAAGGGGGCCCAGCACCTCAGGGACTGAAAATCACTAGGCTTGTCTCCTGCTATAAATAATACTTTAAGATTAAAAGGGTTTTCTTTGACATTTAGATGATGTCCTAGGTTTAGTTTTGTTTGTTTAATTCTTTAGGGGCCTGACTTACAAGGAATCTGGTGTAGACATCGCAGCTGGAAATATGCTGGTCAAGAAAATTAAACCTTTAGCCAAAGCCACCTCCAGACCAGGTAAGTCAGATCCTGTCCTTTGCTAGTTCATTAACTTGAACAAACATTGTGGATTGATTTGGGCTTTGCAGTTTACAGCGGAAGATGTTCCAAATTAATGCCAGTTTCTGTGAGTCTTGCCCAGTAAGCCAGACAGACCCACAGCCTTCTGTTTTCTTGTCTCCAGTTGTTGAGAAAAACATTTCTTGTATATGATGTTAAACTCAAAGGGATACATCTGCCCCTTTAATATTTAAAAAATTATTTTTTATTTAAAATTACTTAATATTTAAAAAATAAAGCAAAGCTCTTGAGCATTGCTTTAAGTGTGTGGTCCTCTCTTCCATTCTCTGGAAAGGCACCATGAAGGAGGGTTCTACATATTCATGTTTACCTGATCTGTAGAAATGCATCAAGTCATTAATTTCCTCTCCCACAGGCTGTGATGTTGATCTTGGAGGTTTTGCTGGTCTTTTTGATTTGAAAGCAGCCGGTTTCAAAGATCCTCTGCTGGTCTCCGGAACAGATGGCGTTGGAACGAAACTGAAGGTAACCAGACATCTTTGTGAACAAAGGCCTCTTGTGGAAGACAGAGGGAATTTACTGTATGTCAAGTAAATCTTTTTCCCCTTTCGACGTACAGGCACTAAAGTAGACCATACCAAATAACCATGTAACATGACTAAAATATCTACATGTTTCTAACAGTACAGCTGGAGCTACTGCTTCTTGCCGTGTATGATGTGCACCCACATTTTTGGCTTAAGCTTTCAGGAGAAAAATTTTTTGTTTCAATTTTTTAATTCAATTTTTTTATTTATTTATATTTAGAAACAAAACCAATTATCGCATTCCAGGATATTACTTTGTATACAGATGCCATTTTTGATTTCTAGAGTTACATTTTTAACAGAAGCATAAATAAAAGAATTAAAAACAGTTATATAAATACAAAATTGGTACTACCCATGTATAACACGCATCCTTATTTTTCCCTCAAAAGTTTGGGCAAAAGTGCATTATACATAGCAAAATATGGTGTATCTGGATGGAAGGGTTGTTTTAGGGTATAAAAGGAGCTAAGGAGCTTCTCAGAATTGGTGTTCTTTTGTCTTCAGGTGTTCAGAGCAGCTAGCCAAAAGCTGATAATATGTGTTAGCCTCCACTGCCAGATGGCAGGTGGTCACCCGGAGCTTAACCTCCTGCGAGTGTTTCTGTTGTTCCGTAGATTGCCCAGCAATGCAACAAGCACGATACCATCGGCCAAGACTTGGTTGCTATGTGTGTAAATGACATTCTGGCACAAGGAGCAGAGCCCCTCTTCTTCCTCGACTACTTTTCCTGTGGGAAACTCAACCTCAGCACCGCGGAAGCTGTCGTGGCTGGAATCGCTGAAGCGTGTATGCAAGCCGGGTGCGCGCTCATTGGTATGACCACCCCTGTAACCCTGCGTCCGTCCCACTGCGCCGTAGCCCTCTGTGTAAGTGTGACCGGTGCAGCTCACGGGAGAGACTGGAGGTCACAAGACGAGGTCCACAAACCGCAGACCACACTGCCTGAAGGCAGCTCGGGCCCTGGTGTCCTGAGGCCCCTCCCCGGGGGTGTCACCCAGGTTCACGCCCTTGCGGCCCGCCCGGCCTTCCTGGTCTCCCCAGTCTCTGGTCCCGTGTCCGCCCCATCTTTCTCGCAGCCTCAAGGCCAGATGGGGAGGGGCTTGTTCCTCCTCCCTGGCTCGGCAGTGGAGACAGGTGGGGCCGTGGCATTCTGAATCTGGAGTTTTATTTTCCCTCAGAAGGACAAAAACTATAATGTGCCCAAAGTTTATGGAAACATTGCTTAAATATATACGAGAATTTTGAGCTAAATTTATCTGTATGTTGACAAAGGAAGAAAACTACCTCTTTTATATGTTACCGTTCCCACGCACGTATCTGTACTGGAAGCCAAAACTGCCTTTTCAGCCATTTTTTTAGAACAGTTACTTACTTGGAGTTTGTGTGCCTAGATCCTGTCCTTACACGAAGTTGTCATGAAGTCAGCTAGGGGGTGTTTTTGAGGCCAGGGTGTTCCGAGTTAGGCGGACTGATTGAGTCACTCGGAGCCCTTTCTGCCATCTCATCGCGCGCAGTGATTTTTCAGCCAGCACCCACAGGGACTTCTGAAACATCCGGTACCGGGCCCTTTAGTCAGGCACTGCCCTCTTTCCCCTTAGATTGTCAAATTACAAAGTGACAACAGCCCATGTGACTACAGCTGTCTGGTATGAATCCCCTGTCTCAAACCATAAACATATAGGTCATGTAATAGCGTTGCACCTTATTGGCCATGTCACATGATATGGTTGCACCTGATTGGTTAATTCTTGGTATCAGAAATCCTTACATGCAAATACAGGCACCTGAATTTTTACCAAAAAGCCACTTTGGAAGAAAAAAGATAATTCCTTTGCCCGCGCACATGTGTATGTATAAATCGATCAAAATTATACCTATTTTTTATTGTCCTATCAGCAAAAAATAGAGTATTTTTTATGTGCTGCGGCATTTTAGTAATTATATGTGCCATGAGATGAAGACGGTTGAAAATCGCTGATCTGGAACATAGAGTGGTTGTACAGAGCAAATACAAGTGACAGCAGTTCTGAAACGAGCCTGCTGTGGAAGTCACATCGTATTCTCCTGAGCATCCACCTCGTCAAGGTAACGGTGTCCGCAGGTCACACTCGGCCTTCGTGGGAAAGAGCCGCACTTGCTTGAAAGGTCTGTTAGGCAGCCAGTAGAGTGCCTGTTGGCGAACGTTCGGGACTACAGCCACACGGTCCATTGTAGCTGGTGTCACTGCCTCCTGGACAGGTGTGCAAATATCAGGATTTCCTTGTTCTTGTTTGATGCCCTGCCAGGAGGCGAGACGGCAGAAATGCCGGACATGTATCCGCCCGGAGAGTATGACCTGGCCGGCTTTGCCGTCGGCGCCGTGGAGCGGGGCCAGAAGCTGCCTTGCCTGGAGAGAATCGCAGAGGGGGACGCTGTCCTTGGAGTGGCGTCGTCCGGTCTTCACAGCAACGGCTATAGCCTCGTGAGGAGAGTTGTGGCGAAGTCTTCCCTTCAGTACTCCTCCCCGGCACCTGCTGGCTGCGGCAGCCAGACCTTGGGTAACGGCGCTTTCGTTTTAAACCCTCCTGCTTGGAGGTGCCTCAGCAGCCGCCTGGGGGGTTAGTCCCTCGCGGCTTAGAGTGGGGTCAGTGGCATGGCCGCACGGCCCTGTCTGGGCGTTATTTCAGGACAGGAGTGTCTGCGGGGCCACAGTCACCCTCTTGTTTCAGTCCTGTTTCGTGTGCTATGGTTGTACAGTCGCAGGCTAAGCTTTTGTCTCATCTCTCCCATGAACAGGGGACTTACTTCTAACTCCAACCAGAATCTACAGCCAGTCGCTGTTGCCCGTCTTACGTTCAGGACACGTCAAGGCCTTTGCCCACATTACTGGTGGAGGATTGCTAGAAAACATCCCCAGAGTCCTCCCCCAGAACTTGGGGGTGGATCTAGGTGAGCTCGCTAAAACCCCGGGGGGCTCTGGGGGCAGCCAGTGCACACCCGGCATTTCCCAGGCAGCTCTTATCATTGGGGTTTCCTGGGGAAAGCATAGGGCTGACCCCTTTCTACCTTTTTTTGCTCTGTCAGCCACATCTGTAAGGCACAAAGCCCTCTGATATAATGGGCTGACATAAGGTGACGTGCTGTAAGGTCCTCCACGGGGGCTGGTCATCTCAAGTCTATCAAGATGGAACCAGGATCATGCCAAGAAGGGCAGAGGTGACTGCCAAATAGTCCTGGGCAGGAGAAGGAGGGGAGCCGAACCAAGGCGTGGGAAGGAGGCACATTTGAGAAGTATTTTGTGCTTAGAAGGAAAAAGAAGTCCCAGGTTTCTAGCTAGGCAGCAGGTTTCTAGATGAGCAGGTGGCAGCATCCCTAACACAGGAGGAAGCGCAGATTTGGAACAGTAAGTGGAATCTAGTGTTTGAAGTCTCCAGTGTGTGAGTCACGGGGAGTCTGCAAACAGAAGTTGAGATTGAGTGTAAGTTGGATGCCCGTAGGCGGATAGTGTTAGCTAATGCCGAGAGAGTAAAGGGGCCCACTGGCACGCCACACACCTGGGCAGAGGCGGAACTGCTGGAAAAGAACAGTCAGGTGGAGTGAGCCTTGGAAGAGCACCCCCAGCTCCCAGCAGGGGTCCGAACCTGACACCGGTCAGGAGCAGCGGAGACCTGAGGCCAGGAGCAGGCGCGCTGAGCGGTGTGTTTCAGAGTCAGGCCAAAAAGCAGTTAGGTGAGGCGTGCGGTGCGGGGAGAGATGCAGGCAGGGCCAGGAGAGGGCTGCTGCCGGCAGGAGAGGGGAAACGAAGGCCCACGGCAACCGCGAGGGGCCGCGTTCCCCTCCCCGTTCTTACAGCAGAGAGACAAAGGCCGAGGCACGGCTCAGGCTGTTGTAGTCAGCCAGCGTCCGTCGGTTTGACAGGGGAGAAGCAGAGCCCATGTAAAGTAGCACCTTTCCCCAGCGAAGTACGACAGGCTGGGTGAGGGGGGCCTTCCTGGGGTGTGGGGCTCAAGAGAAGCGGGCACTACAGCCGACAAGGTCAGAGACAGGAGCGGGACAGCAAGGCGGTCCTGACGGGGAAGCTGGAGCCGTGGTGTCGTTTTCTCCCCGAATGAGAGCCTGTACAGCCTGGAAACAAGAACAGAAAAAAGGAAGGGATTGGGTCGATCCAGTTGGGCAGGGCAGGCAGAGGGGCCAGTGATGGGCCAAACAGCGGGGGCGCAGGTGAGCGGCCCTGCTGCCTGACGCTAGCGGTGGAGTGTGCAAAGCCAGGGGAGAATCCAAAGAGTCCAGTTAGGTGGTTGTGACAGGGAGGACCGGGGCGAGGTAAGCTAGGAGAGTGGCCGGGTGGGGCTGTGCTCCGGGGGAAGCCGGCCAGACAAGCCAGGCAGGGTGGGGCTGCACAGGAGTCCCTCCAGTGGTAGGGTCAAGAGTCGAAGGGTCTGTGGCAGGGTCGAGTCCGAGGTTTAAGACGTCCCTGGGGTAGAGGTGCTTTCTAGCAGGCCTAAACAAAACCTTAAAGCAGTGATTGCCTCCTTCAGTCGTTCAAAACAGCGGCAGGCTGAGGAGCGGGGTGCAGAGGCGGCTCTCAGAGGGCCATGTGAGCTGCCTCTGCCTGCGGGCCCTGGCCGCTGCTGGCCGAAAAGAACACGGCGCTGACCACACCAGGGCACGGAGCCGATGGAGCCAGGTTCCTGAAAGCCGCTGTGTTCTGAGTTGCACACGTGTCTGTGTCCCAGTAAAAAGGAGACTCGGTCCCTTGCCCCGGCCCCTGAGGCTTCTTCCAGGAATTGAACTTTGACAACAGACCTGAGTAAGGAATCCTCAGCGTTAAAGTTACAGCTCATGTTATGACTGGCGTGATCATTTGTAGAAACTAGGCTCTCAGCCTGTCCGTCTCTTTCTCCGTAAATACTTTGTAAATACTGGGGGAAATATCATAGTTGGGTAATCTGCCGTTTATCGTCCATTTACTGTGTCATCAACATCTCCCTGTCATAATAACATCATACATGATGAAGAAGATTCCACCTTTCATGGACGCACCACTCTCTGGTTTTAGGTCGCTGTTGACTTTTGACTGTTGATAAAAGAGTGAACATCATAGTAAGTCATTTGAGCTCAGCTTTTTTTTTTTTTTTTTTTTTAAGATTTTATTTATTTATTTTTAGAGAGAGGGGAAGGGAAGGAGAAAAAGAGGGAGAGAAACATCAGTGTGTGGTTGCCTCTCACATTCCCCAACTGGGGACCTGGCCCGCATCCCAGGCATGTGGCCTGACTGAGAATTGAACCGGTGACCCTCTGGTTGAAAAGCTGGCGCTTAATCCACTGAGCCACACCAGCCAGGGCTGAGCTCAATTTTTAAGAGTGAACATTTCCCAGCTATTGGAAATGGAACTAAATCTGATAGGGAAAAGAGTCATAGACATGTAGTGCCTCTTAGAAATTATATCAACTCTAGAGCATTAAAAAACTAAGTATCCCACAGATACACCAAATCAGTTAGGGGGCTGGATAATCAACCTCATTGTGCAATAAAAAGCTAAGTTCACAGTGGCTTCCTTAGTATTACAATGAAATATTTAAGTCAATATAGTTTTTGTAAATCGAATCCCATAACTATAGATCCTGAAGAAACTTTTGTTGTATTATTTGTGATTCTAGAGGATATATCCTTAAAACAGGCCTAAGCCTAAATTTTTAAAAATAAATGTAGAGGGATAGAGTATTTGATTGTAAACCTTTCATAAAAGGTGACTTCTTTAGCAGCATGTGCGCTTCCTTCCCACCCCATGTAAGCCACCTAGTTTTACATTGAACCACCGGTGCCTCCTGGGCATCGCTGAGACCCAGCTAGCCGTTCCCCAGGGGCAGCACACCCGTGTATACGGGGGCTCAGCTGCTCGCTCATCCCGTCCGTGGGGGAGTTTTAAGGACCTGGATAGTCAGTGCAGCCCAGAACCTCCCTCGCTTGTGAGCACTGGCCAGGTGTGTTGACAGAAGTGCCCTCAGTGTCTGAGGCGCCCGGGGGTGTGGGCCGTCCGTGGCCTCACCCTGCCTGGCACGGCAGTGCTGTCGCATGTGCGTGTGCACACACCTTCCCGCTCTACGTGCAATGGCAGGCGAATCAGACAACTCTGCCCGTTTACAGATGCCCGCACCTGGAGGGTCCCCGCCGTCTTCTCGTGGTTGCAGCAGGAAGGACACCTCTCTGAGGAAGAGATGGCCAGGACATTCAACTGCGGGGTTGGCGCTGCCCTTGTGGTGCCCGCGGACCTGGCAGCACAGGTTCTGAGGGACGTTCAGCAGCGTGAGGAGGAGGCCTGGCTGATTGGCAGGGTGGTGGCCTGCCCTGAAGGTAATGGCTCCTTACTTGGTTGCTCTTTGGCACATCATCCTAACTGTCACCCTCCTGCCGCCCGCAGCCACGCTGTAGATGCACACAGCTCTGCACCGTGGCCTCAGGGCTCTGAGCCCCCCACAGCAGTCACGGCTGCGCCCCAGGGCGAGCCCAGACCAGGGGAGAGAGCTGGGGAGTAAGTGTGCACTCCAGGAGCCAAAGAAGGGGGCAGTTGCAAGGCACAGTCTGCGTGGCTCCTTGGAGGGTCCCTAGGGAACCGAGCCCCGAGGGCCCACAGTGGTGACCCATTGAACAGTGCGCACTTGCGCCAGCTGCCTGTCCTACGCTTCCAGACCCGCGCTGTGGTTCCCTGGGTCACCCCCAAGGTCTTCTCTCGGGTGCTCTTTCGTGGTCCAGCTGAGGTCCAGGAGCGGTGGGCAAGCACCCTAGGGAGTGCTATGAACGAACTACGCAGGGCCACTGCTGGAAGCGCAGGCAGTTGGCTGCGTGGCAGAGGCCCTCCCGGGGAGCCCGGCAGGGGATCGGGGCTTGCCGAGTCTGTTCTGCCTGCCTCTCGTTCCTTCTCTGTGCAGGTTGCACTTTCAGGCAGGTTCTCCAAATACCAGGAAATGTCTCGCGCCCACACCCCTCAGCTCGTGTTGCAATAAGGAGCCAGGCCCTCCCTTTCTCAACGTCCTGTACCAAATCTGTGCACGGCCTTGCTTGGAGCACATGCCTGCCCTTGAGGCCAGGAGTTCACACCCCCATGACAGATGGGAGATTAGGGGGCCCAGAGGCAGACCCGTGGCAGGCAGTGGTATATCCCCTCTAGGCTTAGACGGACTCGTGTGCCATAGCTTTTAGTTGAAGTAGGGAATGTGTTCACTTCAAGGAAGTTTTTATGAATGAGTAATATTAAGTAATACAAACTTACTGTTTTAGTCCTTGCATATCTAATTTTTAGGATAAAATACAATATTCTAAAGTGTCATAAGTACTTCTCGTTCTGCCACCACTATTCATTCATGGTTGTTCTTCGCTTTTTTTATTGGGTGTTTCGGAAACGGAGGTGGTCCCCGTGTGAGGGTCAGGCACCTGACGGAGGCCACGCACAGAGGCCGGTCAGTGCTGGAGAACGGCGCCGCAAACAGCCACTGGTCTGTCCAGCCGAAAAAGGCGCGAGTGGCTGTCTTAATTTCTGGAACAGGTGAGATGGGGCTTCCTCTTCACCGCTGCTACAGAAATGCTCTTCCCTTCCTCTCCGCCCCACGCCCCGCCAGAAACCCTCCAGATGGTGAGGACGCCGCTGGGGCCCTGAGGAGCATTGCCTTTCTGCACCCTCAGACGGTCTGCTTTTCTCACGCGTTTGAGAAAGTTCCAAAAGGGAAAGGGGGGGGGTGTCGGGGACATGGCTGAAGAAGGAGAAGCTAGGAGAACACGGAGAATGGAGGGTGCAACTTTTGCTTTGTAGCTGAAAGCTCTTACAATAGCAGAAGTGTCTTGTGTTGTTTTTAATTGTTAATGATAAAAAGAACAGGAAATTTACATATGACTCCTGTGGGTAAAGGAGTAAAGTAGTAAGAGAATCATATTCTTTTAGGATTTAGCATGATTTTTTTTCTGCTATTATAAGTAACATTGCTGTGAATGTTCTTGTAATTTGCATTAAGTGCATATCTGATTATTTCTGTGAGATGCATTCTCAGAAGTGTATTGCTTTCCAAGTCCATTTTAAGATTTCATTATACTTTAGGCCCAAGTGGATGGTAAGCAAAGAACCTGTTGTGAGGGCTTTAATAGGTTATTCATTTCCTTATTTTGTCCTGCTTTAGCATTGCTCAAGGAGACAAAGCAGTGACTTACCTTGATTTGCCATCAGGAATTTAAAAGAGATCAAACAGACATTGCACTGTTTATTATTTCCTAATGAAGCACATAACATTTCATTAATCATGTAAAAAAATCCTATCTTTTGACATAAATTGACATGAGAGTATATTGTCTTTCTCTCTTAAATTGTATCTGAATGACAGTTCTTTCTCAGAGCAAAATATCCTAAGAAATCCATAGAATCTGTAAATTTAATGGGTTCTGAGTTACTGCAAATGGACCTTAGGAAAAAAAAAAAACGTTGCAGAGCCCAAAGGAATGTTTTGGACAGTACAGGAGGCCTAACTGCAGGCACCGTGGTCAGAAATGAACGAACCCCTGTCCGGAAGAGGGCTGCGCGCGGTGGGCCTGCAGCAGGGGCGGACCCCCAGCGACTTCAGGGGGGCACAGGGGCTACGTCCAGCTGGCATATTCGGGACGGCTCTGGGATGAAGATACAGCAGGAAGAGATACTAGTTTTCCCCAGGCCTTGGTCAGTTTTCAAAGCCTGCAAACTCCGCAAGCCTGCCCGTCTGTCTGAAAGCACTTCCCTCTACGTGACGTGTGCAGATGTTTTCCCCTGTGTCCTGTCCTCCTCGTCACCCCGCCTTAGCCCCGTTCCTGTTTGCACGGACCCAGCAGGCTGGGACAACGAGAGCCTTGGATTTCCGAGTGGGTCGCACAGAGGGGCTACAAGTCCCCGCAGGCCCACAGGTAGCACACGCAGGAAACCGCCAGGCTTTGGTCTGAGTGACTTACACTCTTTCTCACCTCAATTAGCCAGTAATTGCAGGCGGACAGACTTAGCCAGAAACAGCTATGATCAGTTAGGCAAAAAGGAGTTCCCTCCTTTAAAGTTCAGGGGTCCCTGTTAAAGAGCCCTGCTCCCCAAACTGCTCACAGGGGCCTGTGCCCAGCTGTCTGGTACCAGGGCGCATTGTATATTTACCTGATGATAAGGAGTTGACTACTTATTTTACAGGAAAATACAGGGCACATCGTTTATCGCAGATCTGAAGGGCTTAAGAGTAGTTTTCATTTGAGGGCCACGACTCCTGCTGCACAAACACTAGTTATTAACGAATAGGCTGTTCAAGAGGAGCAACAAATGCCAACTTCTGGCAGGTCACTTTCCCTCTCTGAGCCTCAGCTTCCTCACCTGTGCAACGGGGGTGGGGGTGGGGGAGTGGGTAACACCTGCTCCAGCGGCAGTCAGGCGGGTGTCTGCGTCCGAGTCCATCAGCACTCAGTGCCAGCGCGGTGTCTGGCACGCAGTTGACACCCACTAAGTGGTAACTGCCACCTTTATGTTCATCTTCTCTAGGGGTCTTTTGGGCATAAGCTAGTTCCCAAATGGCACAGATCAGCGTGTTGGGGGCTGAGGGGAAAAGGTGGAGGGACTGAGAAACAGAGTGGCTACCGCTGCAGAACAGTTACGGGGACGTAAAGGTCAGCTCAGAGTAGAGCCGGTACCACTGTGCTGACTGCGTGGGGCCGGATGGGTGCAGACTTCCTGGCCGGGGCCGCTCTATAACGTCTGTGATTGTCTACCACCACGCTGTACGCCTGAAACCCCTACGAAATAATACTGAATGGAAGCTGTGATGAAAAATTAAATTTTTAAATAGCACATCTGTCTTTTTAGGGAGTATGAGCTTCCTTGTGTTCCCTCCTCTTCAGGGTCAAACCTCCAGGCCCTCATAGACAGCACCCGGGAGCCGGGCAGCGCCGCCCACGTTGTCCTCGTCATCTCCAACAAAGCCGGCGTGGCCGGCCTAGACAGGGCCGCGCGTGCAGGCATTCCCACCAGGGTGAGTGATGGGGGCGTGTCTTCCTGCGGGCCCTGGGGCGGCCCTGGGGCTGGGGCTTGTCCTGAGGGTTTCTGGACAGCGTGGGCGTCGGGCCTGCCTTCTGGCTCCGTCCTGCCCAGTCCCTGACGCTGCATCGGGCGTGGGTTCCGGGGGCAGTGACGTGTGGCCTCTCTAACGATCAGGTGTTCAGTCATTTCTTGGTAGTTCACTGCAAAAGATGGTGCTTCTCTTTCTATTCCAGGTCATTAGTCATAAGTTATATAAAAGTCGTGTAGACTTTGACACTGCAGTTGACCAAGTCCTTGAGGAGTTCTCCACAGACATAGTCTGCCTTGCAGGGTTCATGAGAATTTTATCCGGCCCCTTTGTCAGAAAGTGGAACGGTAAGCAAAACCTGTTGGGCACCCCGTTGGGAAACCAAGTGAAAATGGACTGTGGGTGACAGACCAGCCCAACAACCCCAGTGAAATATTTATAGTGACGTTTTATGGCCCAGGTCATGATGCAGTTTCCTTTGCCTCAGCCCCAAAAATGCCTGATGATGATAGATTATCCTGCGTTTCTCAGTTTTTTTTTGGCCTGCATTTGTTTCACTTTACTACAAAGATAGTATTTCATCTTCTGGTGTAAAAAGTTGCAAGACTTGTTTACACGTGTAGAAGCAAGAGCAGGTGATTCCCTGTAGCCCGTCCTCTCCTGACGACGTGCCGTCCTTTGCCAGGAGATGGCGAGGAAGACCCTGCTCCCAGGAAACAAAATCCTGGTGCTGCAGCCTCTTTCCAGAAAAATTTTGACAGCGCCCTACTGCGCTTTTTGCACACACATTTGGGCAGTAGAGACTTCTTCTCTCCAGAGAGTTTACGTTTCCTGAGGAGACTGCAGCTGGGGCGCTTGTGCCTCTGAGAGGCAAGGCCCATGACGAACTGAGCAAGCCTCTGGCTGGCGGACGTGCCACTGGGCGACAAGTTGAGCATGTAGACACCATGCGAGGACTTCGTAAAGAGCATGCGCCAGCCACAGGCTGACTTCTCCTCTGGAGCCCTAGGACCCACATCGGATACCCCCATCCCCGTCCGACTCCGTTCAGCCCCCGTGGGGGCCGGTTCTCACATCTCGGTGTGTCTCAGCTGCCCGAGGCGGGAGCTGCCACCCCAGGGCCGCCCTGAGGGGGAGCCGGCCTTTCCCCTGACCTCGTTTCCACCTCCAGGAAGACGCCCGGCCTGAGACACCTGCCCCTCCGACGCCTGTTCCTAGACAGGGCCTCATGTGTTCCTTCACCCGAATCCAGAGGCTGCTCCCATTCTGACCGCTGTGCTTTTACATTGCAGGGAAAATGCTCAACATCCACCCCTCCTTGCTCCCTTCTTTTCGGGGTTCAAATGCCCACGAGCAAGCCCTGGCTGCTGGCGTTACAGTAACGGGATGTACCGTGCACTTTGTAGCTGTGAGTATGTCTGTTCCTACCTCACTGTTCCTGCCGTTCAGGTGTCGGTTGTGCCAGCTGGAAAGTCACGTTCAAACCTGGCTTCCTTCCGCAGGAAGAAGTGGATGCTGGACAGATCATCTTGCAGGAAGCCGTTCCCGTGAAGAGGGGTGACACTATTGCCAGCTTGTCTGAACGAGTGAAGTTAGCAGAACACAGAGTCTTTCCTGCAGCCCTGCAGCTGGTGGCCAGCGGGGCCGTCCGGCTGGGAGAGGACGGCAAGCTCTGTCACGTCCAAGAAGAGTGAAGCTGCCCAGCTCGGAGGGAAGTCTGGCTGCTTGCACGGTGGCTTTCTGTCACACACTCAGCCCAGAAGAAAAACTGCTGCAGGAAAAGAGAACCTCACCCTAACCTGTTCGGCCATTTTTCAATGAACAGAGGTTCATTACAAGCAAGGCTGGTACAGCATATCCAATATGCATACGTGTTGTCGCCAGCGAATCTTAGGTTTTGCCCGCGTACGACCTTGTTCAAAATTAAGCTAGTCATTCAGAACACTTTTTGCTTTTAGCCAAACAAGATACCGAAGCTGTTCGTCTTTCTCACCCTCTTTTTCTGACCAATGTCACCTCTGGTCCCAGTAGGTGTCCCTGGGCCGAACAGCTGGCCGAGGACACTGTTTCCTCAGGTTGACTGTGGTCAGCAGCTGCCACCAAGTGAACGGGAGATTCAGGTGCGCCACCTCCCATAGGTCCCTTTGCTGTAAAAACAGTTGGCTCTTTAGTTCTGGAAAGTTCACATTGTTAAGCACCTATAAATATGCCAACCACTGTCCTATGAAGTTTACAGAAAGTTAAAATATCTAAAGAGAAATGTTGGTTGATAAAACTACATACTTTAAGAGTAGAGGCGAGTACCAGGATGTAAATTAGACAAATCAGTGTAAACTTAAGACTTCAGAAACAAAACTTCCCAGCCCTTTCTTTGATACTAACCTCCTCTAAAAGCACCCTGCACTCTGTGTAAGATAGCTGGTTCCGGATCCCGGGATCGTGTCTGAGTATCTGGTTGCCGAAACCAAAACATTGAAACCAGCAGGGATGATGCTGACAGACAACAGGGTCCACTTAAAAGGTACCCACTGTCTAGTTTGTGATGAGTTGATATTGTTTGGACATGCTGAGTGTGTTTACAATGATTCTCAAAGAGAAAAGGTCATTGAAACAGTGGAAAAGTCGTAACAGAGAAGGCTATAAACACCCTGCCCTTGCGGCTCAATGGGTTGGGCGTCATCCCACAGACCGAAAGGTTGCGGTTTTGATGCCCTCCCTGTCGGCACCGGCCTGGGTTACAGGTTCGGTGGCTGGCCTGGGTGCATTCAGTAGGCAGCTGATCGATATCCCCACATCAGTGTTTTTCTCCCTCTCTCCCTCCCTTCCCCTGCATAGAAACCAAAAAAAATGATGTTTTTAAGGGGGGTGGAACCATGTCATTGTGTTGTTGCTGTAATAATAAACATGGACACTTTTAGTATAGATGTCTTTGTTTCTATTTGTAAAGTAGGAAATCGGATCAGCCCCCTGACCACACACTTTGCGTAGAAGGATACGCCCTGCTGGTCACACACAACAGCCAAAGAGAAAGGATTTGAGTATGAGCTCTAAATGTTCTCAAGAGGAATGTTACTCATTCTAAGAAAGACTTCATTCCTAAATATTCCCTCTCAATTTTTTTTTTACTATTAACTGCTATACAAACTTTTCAACAACTGAAGTACAACATAGTAGTACTTTCACAAAGTTTAACAACATACTTCTGGTCCCTCATTACTCTCTTTCTTGGTTCTTCTCTCCCGTGCTAAGTGCCCAGAAACAGCCCAAACTGTGCCCCAGGGAGAGGCTGGCCGCCGACCCCACGGCCCCACTTGCTGTGGGCACTCAGCCTGCGGCTACCCCACAGCCAGGCACGCGCCGGCCGCCTGTGCCTCTGGGTCGATCATCCAGGCTGAAAGTCAGGCAGGGCTATCTGATGGGTGAAGCTGAGGTCACCTGCCTGCCCTCAGCCAGGGTCAGAGAGTCAAACTGCCTTGGACACCACGGGCGCCCTGCTCTGCAGGCCCGGGAGAAAGGCCCAGGTCCACAGCTGAGCAGCAGGGCAACAGCAAGTGATTCAGGAAACATTCCCAAAACCCCAGGTGTCTTTTTAAAGTTGGCTTCTTATTGCCTCGGCTGCTTTTGACCACTTAATATGTAAATTATGCTACCTCCACCAGTGCTTCAAGAGGCGACCTCTGAAGGCCCTTCCTCAAGCCCGCAGACCTGCAGACCTTGTGTTTGCCATAACGTGAAACTGTTTTTCCTTTATCTGGGGCCCACTGTAAATCAGCAATAAAAATTTGTGAGTAGGGAACCGGAATGCCCATCAGCTACTGAATTGATCACGTGGTCTGGCTCTGAGGACACGCTGCAACATGAACCTTAAAACATGCTAAGCGATAGGACCCAGTCCTGTGAGACGAGAGTTGATTCCATTCACGTGGAATTTCAGAATAGGCAAATCCAGAGGGACACGTAGATGATTATTTGCCCAGGGCTGTGGGGGTGGGGACTAAAGGGTGACGGCTTCTTCCTGGGTCGTGAGGATGTTCTCAAAGTGATGGTGGTGATAGTCCCCTCACCCTGTGAACATACCCAAATCCACTGAACTGATCTGCACCCTTTAAATGGGTGGATTGTGTGGCATGTGAACTCACTCTCAATAAAACTGTTCCCCAAAAAAAAACCGTAATGTAAAAAAAATCAATTCATAGTTTTTGAAATACATCAGTATCACATTTAATCTTATACTATAAAATACACTAAACATACATTGTACTATTTCACATTCAGCCTATGAAGCCATTTACACGAGTACAGGTGGGAAGCCCCTGCTTTGTGACAGAAAGCGCATGAGGGACAGTCTGAGCGGCGGTCCTAGCCCTGGGGCCCCCATCGGTGCACCCTGTAACCCTCACGCATAAGCGTATCAGAAACGCCAGCTCCTGAGCCCCACCTGCACCCTGCCCGCCGCGACAGATGCATGGAGATATCTTGGAGGGTGGTCTTATTTTTTTATTTAGTTTTATTATATTTTTTCCGGTACCATTTAGTCCCCTTACACCCCCTCCCCCCCAGCAATCACCACACTGTTGTCCACATCCGTGAGTCCTTTTTCCTTTTTGCTCAGCATGGAGATTTTAATATCCTAAATCTATTTCCCTTTACCAAAAAAAAAAAAAAATGAAATATTTGTGGACACTGAAAGTCAAACTGCACTTTCACTTTTCTGTACCATTCAATTCCAAAAATTTATGGAAAAAAAAATTTGTTATGGCAGTATCATTCAATTCCTTTGCTTTGGTTATATGCAAAAACAAAAGCTCTATTATCAAAATCATCTTAAATATTTAGCTGACAAATCTATTAGGTCTTCCTTCAGTTTTGTTGAAAGCTAAGTATTGGAAACGCTCCAATTTCAAAAAGGATTTCTTTCTTTCTCTGCATCCACAGCAAATCAACCTTTTCAATTGTGCCTTTGGTGTCCTGAGGGTGTTTGCAGAACCCTGCTGAGATCCAGGATAAGTGAAAGCTGCGCTTTGCTTTTGCAAAATGAGGGAAGAATGACGTTCAAAGAGATGGGACGTTCTTGCACAGGCTGAGGGATTTGCATGGCGGACACCCCCATACCACACCAGGCCGGCATTAGCTTAGAGCTGGAGCTCCGGCCTGCACTCAGCAGGCTGGCAGGCACAGGAGCTGAGAGCAGTCACAGTGAGCAGACGCGGAATGCCGCAGCACTGAACGCTGGGTCGCCACGAGGGCAAACCAACCTTGTGTCCCAAAGAACTATGTGCAAGGATGACGAGAAAGCAGGTAGGACTACCGGAGCAATGCCTAGTGAACTGAAAATTAAGTACATTGTTTAGAATTAGCGCCTGGTAGCTTACATGAGCCAACAGAAATGCCTTCTTTGTCTCGATGCAGTTGCTCCCCTTCCCCTTCTGATCACTACCCCTGGCCTTTGTCTCCTAACCTCAATACCACGGGGATTCTGCCTGAATCAGCACTTCCCAAATAGCTCTTCTTTACCTCTCACTTTGAAAGGCCTTTTATATTTAGGTTACCAAGGGCATGTCCAGCAAGCGGGATCTCAGGAGGCTAAGTTCCTACTTGCTTTTAGTTTTCCATCTCAGAGACAAGAGTTTGGATCGTACAAGTTCCTGGAGTCCCATGAAGGAGTGTACGAGGCTCAGAGGCCTGCTGTAGTGGTTTGCTAGGGCCACTATCCCAAAGCACCCGAGACCGGGTGACAAACAACAGTGGCAGTCCACAGCAGGTCCCTGAATCTCAGCACTGCGTAGCGACAGGCTGGGCTAGACCGTTCTTTGCTGTGGGACTGTGCCGTGCATGTGACTGCAGGAGGTTGAGCGGCGTTGCCTGGGCTCTACCCACTCTATGCCAGTACCAATTCCCACTTGCAACAATCAGAAATGTCTCCACCACTTTACCACCTCACCAACAATGCACAAAGTGTCCGATTTTAGCACATTCTCATCAGCTGTTATTTTACAATCTTTAAAAATATAGTAGCCATCCTAAGGGACATGATGTGGTTATCTCATTGTGGTTTTAATTTGCACTTTCCTAATGATTAGTGGTGTCGTCCATCTTTTCATATACCTGTTGGCCATTTGTCTGTCTTCCTTGGAGACGTGTCTATTCAAGTCCTTTGCCCATTTTTTAATACACTGGCCTTCTTACTCTCTCTGGTTTTATTTTTTCCAGTCACATGGTGGGAATTATGCAATATGTAGGCTTTTCAGACGGGCTTCTTTCACTTAGTGTTAGGCATTTAAGGTTCCTCCATGTTTTTTCATGGCTCGATAACTCAAGGATGTTTGTTATCATTTTATAGATGTACCACCGCTTATCTACTCACGTACTGAAAGACATTTCATTTGCTTCCAATTATTGGCAACTGTGCATAAATCATTTTTAAGAAATTAAAAATGAGACAACTTACATACAGAAAAGTTGCAAGAATAATACAAAAAACTTCCAATAAAACCTTTACCCAGACTTCCCGATTTACACTTCCCTCCATGCAGCTTGCTGTTTGTGCTCTCGCCCCTTTGCTCTGTACATGCATTTATTCCTAAATCATTAGATAGGAATATGCAGACATCGTATCCCTTTATCCATAAATATTTCAATATGCATTTCCTAAGAACTAGGACAGAACCACTCACCGTGGATATCCCTTGGAGCAGATAATTAAACCTGAACTGTCAAGAATAGAAATTATGTGATTCTTTAATTTTATTTAATGCAAGAAATGCTATTTATTTAATATGGAAGGGCCTCTTCAGAAAGGAGCTCAGGTGGCACTGGACTACGTGCTCATTTCCTGCGCTCTTGTCCTGAGGTCTGGGTCTTCCTCACCCAGAGCCGGAGGGCTCTCCCGACAAGCCCTAGGGTGAGAAGATCATTCAGGGGCATCCCTCAGTGGTGGGCTTGTTGAACAGAAGCACCCCCACATCGCATTACAAAGCTGGCTTTGCAGTCAGGTTTGCCTTAAAAACAATTCTGACTGGATGGTTCTCTGGCAAATAGTGTTACTTGCCAGTTAAATGTATTTAGAGTTTTGATGTTAGTATCTGACGACTGGAGAGCAGGGAGGGAGAGGGGGCTCTGTGGTGTCCTGCTCTGGTGGGAGATGGTGCCGCGAGGGTCGGACGGTCCAACGGTATGTTATCTTAGAGGCAAAGAGACAATAAGGCTCAGTTAAGGTCAGGACGGACCTTTGTCCAGAAAGACACCTGTCTAGGATATTACAGCCTGCCATGAACTGATTTTGGTTTAGAAAGTTTTAATTTGAGACCCTCCGGTGCGCCTCCTCCACGTCTCGGGGTCTGTAAGGCCCCCACGCGGGACGGCCCAAGCTGGTCAGGGTTAGTGCGAGGCCCCTTTTTCCTACACACACACAACCAGGACAGCGGGGCAGGCGGGAGAGATTTTAGCGGTCGTAACCCACCCGCTGTTTTTAGTGCGGTGCGTCATCACTCTTCTCGTTTTTACTGGAAATAACGGCACGCACGCTAACGAGCAGGCCGGTGTGGTCGCACAGCCCTCACGCGGCACACTCGCCGCGCCAGCCGGCAAGACTCGAGGCCCCGTCCGCCAGCCAGGGGCCCAGCCCTTCCTCCCAGCGCAGGGGGTCTAAGGCAAAGTGAACTCACGTGATGCAGGTGACGTCAGCCGACGGGTCGCGTGACCAGCACCCCGCCTCCCAGAGGCCGAGTCCCGCGGACAGCGCGGAATTCTCGCGAGATTCGCCTTCCTCCCGGAACTTGCTGAGCCAACAGAAAGTCCCTCAGGAGTGGAGGTGTGTTCGAGGGGCGGTGTTTTTGCTTTCGTTCCGTTACGTGACGGTTAATGCTGAAGCTTTTGGAGCCTGCCCGAGCGTGAGCACCCCGACCTG